CCTCTCCACCTCCTATGGTCTTTGAGACAGAAGAGTCTTCTTCATCCCAACCGACACCCGCTCCCACCCAGCCTACACTAGTTTCCACCCAACTTACACCGGTTCCCACCCAATCTACACCAATTCCCACCCAGCCTACACCGGTTCCCACCTAACCTACACCAGTTCCCACCCAGCCTACACCGGAGGCCACTCTCACCCAATAGACACCAGAGGCCATCCAGTCTGCACCGGCGACCCATCCAGAGGAAGCACCAGAAGCCCATCTAGAGGCAGCACCGACGACCCATCCACATGCAACAGTAGAGGCGCCGCAGGCCTTTGGAGGAGGATCTTCTGATTTGTCATTACTACCATTGTATCCAGACCATGTTTCCAGACGCTTATGGGACGGAGAGGTAAATATTTCCTTTAATAATTGTTACATATTGTGTTACCTTCTTTTTTCTAAGTATTGTGTTCATTTAATTATTGTGTATTTATCTATGCATGCAGGACCGCGACCCACTCAAGATAATAACCATGTTAGGAATATCAGTCGCCTGGTACCACCTTCAGAGCCTTAGTTCTGAGAGCTGTTGCACATCACTGTGCTGCGTGATTTGGTCTTATATGGATATACTAACGTTAATCATGGTATGATTAACACGTTTGTTGAGATATGGTATCACGAGACATCGTTGTTCCACCTACCACATGGTGAGATGATAATCACATTGGACGATGTCGGGTGTCTGTCGCACCTTCCGATTAGAGGGATGTTTTTAGATCACGAGAAGTGCACCAAAGAGGAGGTGCTAGATATGTTGGTGGAGTACTTAGGAGTTACTCCAGAGGGGGTTATGGATGAGATCGACAAAACTTATGGGTGTCATGTCAGATTTAGCTACTCGCAAGAGGTGTACACAATTGAGCTACGACGTGCACGATAGGTCGATGGTGACAATATGCAGGTAGCCCAACACAGAGAACGTGCTATGAGGGCATATCTTTTGTATATGGTTGGCACACAGATTTTTATGGAAACTAGTGCCACTTACACTATATCATGTACCTATGGTTATTTAGCAATTTTTAGCGGATTGCTGAGTGAAACTGGGGGGTAGCTTATTTGGTGTATTTGTACCATAAGGTGTCTGAAGGTGCTAAGTGGAATACAAAGGGAATGACCGACAACATCACACTTTTTATGGTAATGTTTCTTATTCTTATGTTTGTTTTGTCTTGTTATGTAAATTACTTTGATGTCGTTACTTACTAAAGACAATAACATTTTAGGTCGGGATCCTACAACACTTCCCTCACATATCTGGATGGTTACTTGAGCCTACATATACTGAGGTCCTACCACGTGCCACTTTATTTGATCCCCTCCGAGGGAACCAGGCGACAAAGCCATTCTGGGTGTATATAGACCGCGTGGCCTATGAGGATATATGCTTCCATGCATACGAGGCTCATCGTGAGACAATTCCATTTGATGACATTGTGTTGTTCACTAGATGGTTGGTATGCGGGTCACGCAAGACAATTGCTTATTTGCCTGAGTGCGTGATGCCGCAGTTCGGATACATGCAACACATTCCTAGACACCCCTCTGAGTGTGCCCCTCCCCCGGTGAAACAAAGGGATATGGATGACATATTTGATGATTATCTTAACCATCTCATGCCGGATGAGGCCCAGTGTACCATAGCACCAAAGATTGGAGCTATGATGATGGATATATATTATGGTTCTTCTAGGTGTCACATCCATATCTGGTACAAGAGGCTCCAGGTAACCCATCTAGACCAGCACATGTGGAGATTCTAGAGGAGAAGCAGGCACAAGCCGATCATGCCACTGACGTGTTTCCTAGGTTCCTTCGTATCATGCAGATCCCGCAGGCGGGTATTGATAGGGGGTTATTTCTTGATTGCTCCGATGTTAGAGGTGTTCTAGATGCCATCATGGCGGAGGCTGGGGAAGCTCTATGTTACATACGACATCAGAGGAATGTGGGGAATATCACGGGCCAACTAATTATCCCATACTCAGTAGTCTGATAGTTTTGGATGACTTTTGTTTATAACACTATTATTTTTTTCATATTTTGGATTATATGGATAACACTTTGTGGAATATTTTGTGTATCGTATTTTGTACGTATTTTGAAACATAATATTTATCAGCATTTGTATGTATTTTGGGATCTGTCATACCCCAATTTTTGACCTAAGATCCCTGCTTCATTTACATTATTTTATATATACATCAAGGTCACAAAATATGGTAGGTTTCGAGCTTTTCGCCTTCGATCTTTGACTGCGTAGAGATTATCGAGTGTTGTGAGCATTTTATCTTATGAATGACTAACCACTAATCAAGCACGAAGTGTATGTTTTGTTTTTTTTATTTCATGTGCAGGAAACAGGTCTGAAAAAAAGAGCATCAGACGTCACACATCAATTAGGGTTTCGAGTCTCATGACAGAAATGCGATCGATCGTTGATTCTGAAAGGCTGGTTCATCAAAGAATTTCAGAGAATCGTGTGTTTATTTCCACACTCTGTCCAACAGATGGTCTCAAGTGTCTCTGAATTTTTTCAGAAAGAACAGTCGAAGTTCTACTGCCATTGGTTCATGTGTGTTTCACATTGCTTTAAAATACAAAAAACCAAGCTATGCCGGTCATTTTCGATCACTTCGACCAAAAGTCATCTGCAAGTTTTTCTCACGACGCGGGGTGAATTTTGTCAAAATGGGATGATTAAATTCAAAACCGTTCTAGAAGAATTTATTCGGAATATTTGGAATTTTCTTTATTTTAATTCAAGCGATAATTAAAGAGGAGCTACCAAGAGATCTCATTCAAGAATAATCATTTATCGCATGAAATATTTATTCAAGATTATTTTGTGTGATTATTTTGGTGGATTTACATTATGGTTATTTGAACACTCATGAAGCATTTACTAAGGAGATATTAGAAAAAAAATTCGATTCAAATAATCGTTCACTACAAGATTAATTACATGAGGGTTTCTATTTGATTACAAAATCAATTCATGTGATTTATTTGGATCCCTATTACAAAATGCAAGATTAAAGTCTAAGGCTTGCATTATCATTTATTCATTATTCAACAATTTATTCAAGTATTATTCAATTTTTCCCCAATTCAAATGGAAGGAAGACCTTGAATTTTTATCAAGACATATCAAGATTCAATTTCAAATGAAGATTCAAAGTTATTTACAATTACAAGGGAATTGAGAATATATTGAAGAATACATATTCATTCATGTTATAATTTACTTAGATTTATTGTTACAAAGTTACAAAAGAAATTCAAACTTTGTACATGAAAATCAAGCTATTGTTCTTGCTACAAAACAATCCCAATGCTGCCCATTTTTCCAGCACTGTTTTAATCCAATAACAGTCCAATTCTTGAGTATAATGTTGTCCATTTTCTCCAACCTTGTTTCAACAAAAACCATGCCAAGTTGTTGTACTAATCTACCCTGCAAAACAGTCCAAAATGCAGCCCATAAGACAAAAATCTGCACCTTTGCTGCTACAAAAACCAGTCTACAAAACTCCAAACATTGCACTAAAATGCATACTTCAAAAAGCTATCTCATAAAACATCAAAACAGGGCCTAAAATAGTTCAAATCTCTACTATCTCCCCCCCTAAAACCCCATATATTTCACTATAAATAAGGGCCTCTATCAACAAAAAATCAGAAGAGAGTTTTGTCCAAGAATCACACTAAAAAAAAATCAGAAAAGAGTTTAGTCCAAGAATCACACTAAAAATCAGAAAGGAGATACAACAAGAGAAACACAAAATTCAGCAAGAAGAAAAAACAGAGAAAATGGCTTTGGTTCAAGAATCACAAGCAAGGGAAAAACAGAAAACACACATAGAGGATTAAAGGAGGGAGAACTTACTATTTTATTTTTCTGAAGCTCCATCGGAGAGACTCCGATAGGTATTCTTCTTCCTGTTATTTCTGCAAACTTTTTTCACATATACATCCATGCCTGCCGAATTCATTTGCATAGTTAATCACTTTTCATGCTTGGATCATTTATATATGCATAATTTGTTAAAACCAACAAATCAGAGTATTAATTCTTAAGATTAAATTGTAATCTGTTAGAAAAAGCACAGGACATCGTTATATACTTATAGGTTATAGCCTATTAGCATAACCTGTTAACAAATCTTTCTTTAAAAATTCACCGACCCGTTACCAAACCGTAAACCTGCATAATCTGTTAAAACAACAAATCAATATTAATTATTTTTCCTCCAAGATGCCTAACCTATTAACAAAATCAAGCCGACATCAGAACTCAATACCTTTGTTTTTTTTGCTAAAAACGCTCTAATAATCCATCCATCAAACTTTACTTGTTAGCGGTATGATGCCTCAAATTCGTCGCCGCTGATACTAATGCACTGCAAGCTGGTTTAAAGAAGTCCCCAGCCTCGCCAACTTTTCTCTTCCATCAAACACCTCGCATCCACCGATCTCCAATTTTCCCTTTATCTTCCGCCTATCTCCCAGCCGCGCCCAACTTCCTGCAACAACAATAACAACAACTTTCACTCAAAACCTCTACTCCTTCAGTCTCTGTTGCATCTCCTTTCGCTCCTAACAGACCGTAATAATTCACTCACTGTGTTCACTTTAAATTTTCCCTATATATACATACATAACACACCAATCATTAGAAATGAAAAGAGAAAAGAATCAATCTGTATTTTAAACTCGAATTTGTGTCTACATAGAGTAGAATTTTCAATTGTCATAAATACTTCTAACAAAGCAGAACCACCTATTGACAGAAAGAATACCCATCTCTCGTCATTACCTTCTGCAACATGCTCAACTACTTTCATCACCTTCAAACATCACATTAACGCTCTTCTGTATCTTGACCTATCAAGCCGTCGTCTGGGTTAAGTACTCGAGAGAGCCCGATAATCCCACCAAGTCCACCATGGCACGAGGTACAAACCTTAGAGTTCATTTCAAGAACACTAGGGAAACAACGTTTTCCATCAGGAAGATGCCCTTGATCAAGGCTAAAAGGTACTTGGAAGATGTTCTTTCCCACCAACAAGCCATTCCATTTAGACGTTTCTGCCGTGGTGTTGGAAGGACAGCCCAGGCTAAGAACAGACACTCCATCAGACAAGGAAGGTGGCCAGCCAAATCTGCTAAGTTCATCCTTGATTTGTTGAAGAATGCAGAGAGTAACACTGAAGTGAAAGATCTGGATGTTGACGCTCTATATTTCTAACCTCCAAGTCAATCAAGCACAAAAGCAAGAAACACATGGAAATTCAGAGTAATCAAAGGGATTAGAGTGTACCTTTCCCGGTGATCTAATTTTTTTATCACGGCTTCAACCTCATAGTCATACCCATATCTCCCTTCAAACCCATCTTCATCAATTGCACCACCTCCACACGCGTCAAAACTGTCTCACTTACAACAAAACCGCAAGCCTATGGCCAAAATCAGAAAAGAACAGAGTTAGAAAAAACCTAAAATCTATAAATTCTTTTGCTCTTATTCCGTAAAACATGTGAAATTGAACTGAGTGGGAGACTTCAATTGTTGTTATTGCTGTTACCGCGAGAGAGATAGACGACTTTAGGATAAGATGATGGGGTCAGAAGTGTTGTCGTTGTTTCATAAGAATGAAGTACTGTGAGGTAAGAAGAAGATGAAGATAGGAGTACATCGAGTCTTGTTGTTGTTGTTGTTCCACTTATGATTTTAATTGAATTAATATTAATAATAAACTTTTCTTCTTCCCCATAAAACAACAATAATAATTAATCTGAACATTTCTATTTCCAATTAATTTCCCAGCGGCGCTTTTGTTATTTAGGGTTCCAGAAGACCCTTTCCCTATTCTCCCCTAAGCCGGGTCAGCCCCATTGGGCCGCTGGCCCAATCCACTCATGTTCATCCCTTTTGTCTTAATAGTTTAATGATAATAACAATTAGTAAGATAGCTCAGCTGGCAACTTACACTGTCCATTACCTTTAAAGGCTCAAGCTCGATCCCTACTGGGGCATTTTTCTGTTTTCTTGCTCTTTTAACCCTTTTCTTTCAATTCTATTAATTTGATATATATATATATATATATATATATATATATATATATATATATATATATATATATATATATATATATATATATATATATATATATATATATTAGTTTAGTTTATGTATTATTATTATTTCATTATAAAATATAAAAAAACCACATCTCTTATAACTAATTTTTATTTAATTTTTTTGTTAACTTGTTTTAAATATATTATCATCTTAATTATTAAAAATACATGTTTCATAATTTAGCCTTTGATTAATTTTTGTTATTTGCTTAATTATTAAAAATACATGTTTTGTAATTTAGTCTTTATGTACTTTTGATTATTTATTTAATCGTTTAAAATGCATGCTTATAAGTTAATCTCTTATTGAATTCTGTTATTATTCAATTGTCGCTCTATTCTCGATCGTTTAAATCTTTCGTCCCTCTCAAATCCAAGGTAAATGCTTTAACTTTGTTGACCTCACGTCATCAAACACATCTCATCCAATCGTGCGAATACCCTCATTCATCTTTTGTTTGTTTACTATTTTTTCTAAACCTAAGATAATTTTCCTAAAAGATTCAATTTTAAAACTCACACCTTTTAAGTCAAAACTTCGACATTAGGTCGTCATATCTTTAAAATCTCGCCCACACCCATTTTCGCCAAACAAACCATTTTAATCAAACAAACAATTTTAATAAACGGATATTTCAAAAGGTTTCTATAGGATACTATAGATGCATTGGGTGCTAATACCTTCTCATTGCATAACCAACCCCCGAACTCTAGATCTCTTTTCAAAATGCATTGTATTTTCATTACTTTTAAGTATTATTTTACATTGCATATTTTAGGGTTTTATTTCGCTCTTTTCCCTTTTCCCTTGGAAATAATAAAGCGCGATGGCGACTCTTGCTTTTGTGAGTCGAGTTAATTAATAGCTTGATCTCCGATTTACCCCGCTACATTTTTTATCGTTACAGAAATGGTGACTCTGCTGGGGAAAGATTGACCTCTTGCTTGTCCATCCCTAAGTGGGTTAAGCCTAGTTTGTCTTATCTGTTTTATCATTATTTGATTGTTTGATTATATGTTTATATTATGGTTATTTGGGTGTTAATGATATTTACAAAGGACAAGTCCTATACCTGGACTAAGTTACACTTAAGAATAGGATGGGCGGTATAGTCATGTTAACTTTGAGGGAGTAATCCCGAAGAAGGAGGCATGAAATCCCCCACTCAGTGGAAAGCCCCTTTAAACATAGTATTTATTTACCGAGTAATCAGGAAGATATTATTGCTTTCGACCTGGGAGCCAGAGAAGCTGAGAACCATAGAACCCTAACTCATCTTGGCCTTTTAGATGTAGCGCGGAGACTATAACGGAGTAATCCGGAAGTAGTTGTCATGCGATGCTACACTCGGACGAGTTTCTCTTGAGAATATTGCTAATTATTGAGTAATCAAGATGTTAGTAATATCCGAAGGAGGAATGTAGACTCTGGGAACTCTTAGAACCTTGTCTTGCAGGTGTGATTAAACCTTTAGTACATACCCTGGGGGTGGGATTTACCTTTGACTCCATTCTCAAAGCACTGAACCTTTGAACCCCATGTTTGTGAACTTATGTGTAATTGTTGCATTATCATTCATCCATACATCCATAAGAATTTAAAAAAAAAGTTTTTCAAGGAACTTAAGAATGATTTTTGCAGACATCTCAGGTACTGTTACTATGGATTTTGGAAAAAGAAACACTCGGAGTTATAGTTTTAAGGAGCCTGAGATTGAAGAGTTGAAGAGTTTGATTCCTAAGATTGAGAACCCTACGGAGTTTCAAAAGAAATATGAATCCATTATCCCTCTCATGAAGCGCAAGATGAAGGAAGGCATCTGTAGCGGTGAAAATCGGAAATCAAGCTATTAATTAACTTGACTCACCAAAGCAAGAGTCGCCACCGCGCTTTATTATTTCCAAGGGAAAAGGGAAAAGAGCGAAATAAAACCCTAAAATATGCAATGTAAAATAATACTTAAAAGTAATAAAAATACAATGCGTTTTTGAAAGAGATCGAGAGTTCGAGGGTTGGTTATACAATGGGAAGATATTAGCACCCAATGCATCTGCGGTACTCCGCAGGAGAACCTTTTGAAATATCTGTTTTTGGTTAAAATTGTTTGTTTGATTAAAATGGTTCGTTTGCTAAAAATAGGTGTTGGCGAGATATTGAAGATGTGATAACCTAATGTCGAAGTTTTTACTTAAAAAGGGGTGTGAGTTTAAAAATTGATTTGTAGGAGATTCGTCTTAAGATTAATAAAACTAAAAAAGGTATGAAGGGATTTCACATAATCGTATTAGATACTCGATGACATGAAGTCAACAAATTAATTCTTTCCCTTGGATTTAAAACCACAGACAGATAAATAAGCTAAGAGTATATCAAACCTCAGGTGAAAATAAATCACAAGCCGACAACATCAAAAAAACCTGATGTAAGATAATACTCCAAGCATCAGATAAAGCGCAAAGGACGATGGATAAAGCTCACGGTATCAGATAAGGTTCAAGATATTGAATAAAGCTCGTGGTATAAGATTCCCTGCATCACATGAAATATACAGACAAAACTAACAGCACGGGAAACTTATGTGCGTCCGCACAATTTTCAGAAGTTAGTTGGAATAAAATCACAATGTAATGAAAATAATATTTACATAACCCGAATTTATTTACAAGTGAATTGAATAAAATATAAAATAAAATAAAAAATATTATGTTATATATATATATATATATATATATATATATATATATATATATATATATATATATATATATATATATATATATATATATATATATATATATATATATATATATTCTAAACATTAAATCAAAGTGATAAAATAAAATAATACAATAAAAAAAGCACATGATAACGTATAGAAATGTAAAATTCAAAGGGGGTGTCTAAAGTAAATGAAATAATGGGCTTTGTGGAACTTTAACCCAAACAAACAGCAACATACAAATCATATATTATAACAATTGTAAACAAAATAACTATATAAACAAAGAAATGATCATAAATCAAATTAAAATAAAATAAAAAGGAAAAGTGGAATACGATTGTTTGGCCGAGGTGAGAGGGAGTTTGTTGTTTGTGTGTGGCTTGCGGTTTACAGCGATTGGCAGAGAGTTATTATACTGTGTTGAAGAGGATTGAATGGTGGATGAATATTGGTAGCGGAATAGTGGCAGTTTGATGGATCTGCAGAGAATTAATGGGTGTGTTGTTTTTGTTGTGTGAAGAATTAAAGGGAGATAGAGGGAGTATACTATGCATGGGTGCTTTTGTTGTGTAGGTGTTAGGAAGAGAAAAGAGGGAGTATTAGTTGCTGTGTTGTTGATTGGGTGATGTTGTGCGTGGGAGTTGAATTGAGAGGGGAATAGGAAGAAGATGGTATGAAGGAAGTTGTGGTGAGGAGAAGTCAAACAGAGGTGTGGAGTTTTACTGCTAGCTTGCTTTTAGTTTTTGTTACTTGTTATATTTTACAAAGAAGTAAGGCTTCTTAAATAGAAAAATGAAATGGAAAAATAAGATTTCAAAAATTAATCTCATCCGTTCAAAATAAATTCAGTAGGTATCAATCCGTAAATTATGCTATCAACCAATAGAAATAGAGCAAGGTGTATTTAATATTTTTTATGACAAAAACGCCCTTAAATGATAAAAATGAAATAAAAAACTGAAAGTAATAAAATTAACTCAATTTAAAATAATTTTTTTGAATTTTTTTCTGAATAAAAATTAGAGACAAAATGACCGATAACGAAAAAAAAACGGACGAAAATTTATCCGATAAAATAAAATGAACACATTAAAATAAACTACATGTCACAAAGATTAAAGAAAAAATTCAAAAGGTCAAAATCGAAATAAAATGATAATTAAAATACCAGGCTAAAAAGACGTCTACGATTAAAAACGAGACTTCAAACTGTACCGAAAAAATAAAGAGAGCATACCGTCATAATCTACGCTATACGCAAATTCATAAAATGATCGGTAAAAGGTGAAAACTTGAAATATTTTTCTCGCTAATTTTCGTATAGTGTCGAATCGCTTTTAACAGCCTGTCTGTAAAACCGGAATATTTTTATTATCGACATATA